TTTCATTTCCTTGTAACTAATGAGAAAGGATAATGATGTAACTAATGATGGAAGAAAGACTAGATAAACATTGTTTATGTGATTAAAAAGAGAAGACTGAAATAGATGGACGAATATTGAATAACGTGACGAACAAGTAGTGAAAGGTTCTTATGACGAGGCCTTATAGAGAAGAAAGGAGGTGGACATATTTATTTAAGGTTGATTTCTTAATTCCTATTAAATTAAATAGTTCTCTTCCATACTGGTTTAATGAATAATGCCAATCCAAAATCATAATTGAAAGTGGATAACTAACTTTAAAACCCCTTAATGTTAAGGTCGATATTCGCCTGAATACATACATATAAATATTTATTATTAAATAGCACACGTTACGACTCGTGTTTGCCTCGAGTGCTCACGTCACGTCATTGCGTCAGGGAGAATGGAAGATGCATACATAGGTATATACCTGAAATATACATTATGCTTAAGCAGTCAATAGTTCAATACAGATTTTGAATCTTGCCAAATTTTCCTAAACTAAACTGCTTATTGTTTAGGTGTTTTAGTATTCACTTATAAACGCTATACGTTCAATAGTAACGAGACTGTAACGCCACAAGCCCTGAAGGACCCAACCCCTGTCGTTTGTTTTTGATTCTTAGTTAACAAGTTTTAAGTAAAACTCAATACTTGAATACTGAAATGTTTATTCAAAATGAATTTTTATAAGAACACAGCGTGATGCTCGTCAAACTTCCCACCAGAATCGCCCTTTACAACTCTTTGCGCGGGAAACTTTACTAATCTGTCACATTTGACAGGTGACATCGTCAACATGACAGCTAGCGCTGTCGATAATACAGATGTTTGACAGTTTAAACTGTCAAACACCAAGCGGTCACCGGTGACCGCAACCTATTGTTCTATAATTGTGTCTATAAAGACGGTACTCGACGAGTTAAACTAGTGACGTTCATTTAGTTGATTTTTGTCGTCTAACACAAGTGAACTTATACAAGTGTTATTTTAAAGCCGCGTTATTTTCTAGGAGTTAACTCGGCTACCGATTCTGTGTCCGAATCAATAAAAAAAATTGTAGCTAAATATTTTTAATTGTTCTGTAAATTACGGAAATCCGTAAGTGCGAACTACACGCCGCCGTCTTGTAACTAGCTTTATAACGCGGCTTAACACACACAAACTCAAACACGTAATTGATATTACTCCTAATTCCATAAAACTCCAATAAGAAACATTGCTGTCGCTTCTTCTGAAATACTGTCGAACTTAAACGATTTATTGTAGCCGTATTTTTACCTATTGGCCCGAAACTTTCTCTTACATTGAACCTTTATGACTTCTGTGACATGCCCCCGAGACATGTCACGGTTTCAAAACTACACCTTGTATGCGGCCGAAAAACACCAATCGTTATCGTCATTATTGCATACATTTTGCAGATTCTGTCAAAAACCTAGATTGGTCTAGAAATTATATTAACTCGTGGAGTACCGTCATTATAGACACAATTATTGAACAATAGGTTGCGGTCACCGGTGACCGCTTGGTTTTTGACAGTTTAAGAGCGGTTTTCAATAGTCGGTGGCTACTATACCCATGCGAAGAGCTTGAGGTGGTGACCTAAGTTCTCCGACGTCATCACGCTACTAAAGAAACGTTTTATACTTACTAATAGATTACATTAGTCATATAATTGCATTATGATTTTATTGCCATAATCGATGAAATTGTGTGCCTTAATGAATTGTGTCGGTAATGTAACATTTTATGGTTCTCATCTAGTTTTACGATGTCGATTCAATATGGTTCGTAGGTAGATACTTACGTTTAACTATTCTTATTACGCGATGACGTAATCCAAATGATTTATTTTACTTTGGCTTCGAAAATACTTATATTTAGCAACGAAACTACGAAAGGTTTTAATTTTTTATGTTAAACAAACCAAAATAATTTTACTCATACCTATGTTATCCTGTTTATTTATTGTTTTTCTCCGTAAATTACACACAGAATCCCATAATACACAGACTTTAATGATAAAGCAATGTATTTAATACAAATGAAATTAATTCGAAACGCGCCAATCCGTCACGCCGCCATTACGATTTCCCGGCAATTACTTTGACAGCTGTCAGCTTCAATTTGAACATGGAAGCTTTCGAATGCGCGCGTATTTTAGCAAAATCAAAATGGAGTCAAGGAAAATGGTCCTTTGAGGGAAGCCTCAGTTTGAAAATTGAACAATTTCTTCAAATTGTTCAATTTTCAAACGGTTAAATTCGAAAGTGGATGATTGTGATTGGTTGAAAAATGTATTAGTATTCGTTCTTTGGCGAATGGAACGAGGAATGGAAACCAAACAATAGGCATTAATTTAACTGCCTTATATTAAATACACGTACTCAGGTGCCGTAAACTTCAACCTACGTTGATGGACGTGACGATATCATTCCACCAGCACCTACATTTCCATACTTACAGCGATCAAACCAACAAATATATTTGAATCTCCTCATTACAGGTAAATAAACAAGACCAACATATGTGTAGCCGACTCAGTTTACCTAGAATGTAGATAGATGGCAGATATAAACCATAGACACGTTGATTTCGTAAATAACTTATTACAAGGTGAAACTCCTTGCTTTGCTCACCTACTTTAGCTGGCCAAACAGTCATCCATATCCATCTTTAAGTAAATGAAGAAGTATTGCCAGATGAGTGTGTTTTGTAAACATAGGGCGTATTTTCAAATATTTTGCTCCTATTATAGGGACGGCGAACCTTTACGTTTAAACGTAGCATTTTTCTAAACAAATTTTCTTCGACGTTTGTAAATTACATTAATATTATAAATATCAAAGTTTCTTTGTTTGGATGTCTGTATGTTTGTCGGTCAATCACCCTGAAACTACTGAACGGATTTTGATGAAATTTGATACTTTTATCCCCATTAAATTCTCCCATAGGATATATCCCTATTAAATCCTCCCGCCTCACCCAGGCGGGGAAAGTCATTCGATGATTTTCTCCCCTTAAAAATCACGTTCTACGCGGACAAGTCGCGGGCTAGTTAGTGGGGCATTAAATAATGTTCACTTTTATATTATCACCCACTACCAGTAGCACTGCATGCCATAGCAGTGCATGAATACATAACCTGTATGGCTGTATCCCTAGCACAGCACCTAACCTAATAACAACAAGATACTCTCTGATAGTAAGCGGTCACCGTTAAAGTAAAGTGCACCAGGCGACAGATGAAGACATTTCTTTTTTCTATTTTACTAGCCACCCACGCTTCGCTCGGGAGCAATATCCATGTTTTATACCTACATATAAACCTTCCTTTAGAATCATTCTGTGTATTAAAAAAAACCGCATCAATATCCGTTGTGTAGTTTTAAAGATCTAAGCATACATAGGGACAGACAGACGGCGGATAGCGACTTTGTTTTTATACTATGTAGAGATGGGCCGACGTTAGACCACTATCTCGCCTAGTGGTAAGCGATGATGCGTTATTAACTTAAATTGATGGGTTACTCACGTAAATATACCGAGAAAAGCTCTACTAATTTCGTGTCCCAGAGGGACGCTTCCTACGGACGGATGACCGCACACGAGTGACCCGCCATTTTAAAGTTAATTCAGTAATGTCTCGTGATAGTTATTATAAATCTGCTGCACCGTTGAAGCGGTGGCCGGGCAACTGGCTGTGTGTAGCAGGTTCGATTCCTTCTTTGTGTGATCCATAAATTGTTGTTTCGGGTCTGGGTGTTACGTGTATGTGAACTTGTATGTTTGTAAACGCACTCACGACTCAGAAGAAAATCCTAATGTGGGGCAATGTTTTTTTAAAAGAAAATCTTGGACATTGTTATGTCTGTAGTGCGTCGTCGACCATGAATTTTGTAATAATAATAAGGCATTTATTTCAGACAAAGTGCATCTAATGTTAGTGTTACATAGACATTACTTACAAACTATTGTTAGTACCGATCACCATTTGTACAAATCTTTTTATTATTGGATAGTAGGTACATACTCTCCGCTACGGTTCTCAGGATGCTGTTTTGACTGTCTCTCAACCTTCTTAATAGTAACATAACATTACGCCTTTTATCCCGAAGGGGTAGGCAGAGGTGCACATTATGCCACTGTACAATGTAACACCCATTTTTCACTATTTATGTTACGAGTCCCATGTAATAGGGGGTGAGCCTATTGCCATATACCGGGCACAATTCCATACTCCGTGCTACTACTGAGTTTTTTTTTTAAAACCCAGTAATACTTTGCCCGACCCGGGAATCGAACCCGAGACCCCTTGCTCGGCAGTCGCACTTGCGACCACTCGGCCAACGAGGCAGTCTTCTTAATAGTGACCCTGTTTTTTTCCGTAGTACGAGCTTTCGCGAACATCTCCGAAGCACTACAATAGGGCAGTCTCAACAACATTCTGTAAGCGTTATTGTACTGGACGCGCAGGACATCTACCAATCTTTTGGTATGGCTGACCCATAGACCACCCGTGTACAGACTTTGGCAATACGCCTTAAATAGTGTGATTTTAACTTGGTCGGTATTTTTTTTTTTTTTTTAAGGGGGAAAATCATCGAATGACTGCCCCCGCCTGGGTGAGGCGGGAGGGAGTGTCAGACTCTTACTGACTAAAAACCACCCCGTTCCTTCTCCTGCACGTCGAGCCGGAGCCCCGGTTACCCGTTAGCATGACTCCGAATTGGCATCGGCCCTATTGGGCCCCATCTGTGGTGGTCTGATGGCTCTTTGAGGCGGGCGCGGAACGCGACGCGCCGTACGCTCGGGTAACTTGATCGGTATAGCGGTAAGATCTACGTAATGATTAGTGACGTTATCTTTGTGTTGCGTGCGTGCCTCTAATAGCCATCCCTGCTCCATTCAATATTGTGTTTATAAGTAGATGGTGATTAGTCGTTTATTTACATGTCTGTCTGTTTGTTTAGCGCAAGCTGGGCGGGCGTGGCAACGCCTGCTGTACCGCGACGAACAAACGCACAAACATATTCACCGCGGTGAACAACTTCTTCGCTGATTCGCCACTGGTGAATCAGCTCAAAGGTATCATGGTAAGTGACAATAAGCCATATCGTAACATCATATAAGAATGCTTGTACTACTATAACATCATACTTTTTATCCCCGAAGGGATAGGCAGAGGCGCACATTACGGCACTAAATGCCACTGTACAATGTAACACCCACTTTTCACTATTAATGTTACGAGTCCCATGTAATAGGGGTTGAGCCTATTGTCATATACCGGGCACAATTCCAGACTCCGTGCTACTACGAGTTTTCTTAAAAAACCCAGTAATACTTTGCCCGAATCGATCTCGAGACCCCTTGCCCGGCAGTCGCAGTTGCGACCCCTCGGCCAATGAGGCAGCATGCTTGTAATACCGGAGAGGCTAATTTTAAAATATTAACTCAAAAGTGCATTCGTAGTCTATCGGTTACTTAAATTAATAATTAAGACTTGATTATTAAGTTGCTGTATAACTTACTCATAACAACTATTTAACTCGACTAGTTTCAAGTCATGCAAGGATCCCATAATCAATCACAAGATGATTAAATTCAAAATGTTAATCATAACTATTGCTTGCAATTGAACCACCTTTAAATAGGTAGATCGTATAGACTAGGACAGGCTATTAAACTCAAAATACTTATAAATATTTATTCTCGAATGTGTGTAAACACAACATAATAAATCACACATACATGCATCACGACAATCTAATATAAAATAAGTTAAAAATACAGATTTATAACCCACAATATATTCCTTTATATCGCTTGCTACAAAAGTATGGCGAACTATTCTACCTCTAAATCCGCAAGGATATTCACAAGTTAGGACCGGCTTACCCGGATAGAAATTGATCGGATCGACCCTGCAAATAGGCGTTGAATGTGTTCCAAGTTATATTGAACTGGATACACGGTTAGACTGGTTTGACATTCATTGGTTTAGTTAGGTGAAGTATAGAACACAGGCCCGTAGCTAGCGCCGTATATCTGCCGTATTAATTATACAACGGACTACAGAGGCCCCCAACGTGCGTAAGAAAAAATTAATAAGAACTTCGCAATTTTTATTGTTATTTCAGTTATCACAAAGGTCAAGAGAAACGAATTTTGTGGCGTATAGTCAAAGGTTACAGTCAAAGGTTGGTTAGTAAGATACTTTAGTAAAACTAAAGTACCTAATCATAGTCCGCTAATTTGGGTAGAGGTAGTTGCTTGGAAAGTTTTCCAGTTTTGACACAAATTATTATTAGTAGGTAAAGGAAATTTTTACCCTTCAAAGACCCCTAATAATTTTTAATACGGGGACCTGCCAAAGCACGCTACACTACTGATAGAACAGTTTGTTATATTGTGTTACAATTTGTTCTTGGAGTGTGGTGGTTAAGAGGACTTTTCAAATAATAATTAGGGTTTTCAAGAATGAAAGATCAAAAAAGACAAAGCATTTACTAGACAGTAGGTACGCACACAGATACAAAAATAATACAAAATTAAAATGAAAATTGACTGCCTCGTTGGCCGAGTGGTCGCAAGTGCGACCGGGCAAGGGCTCTCTGGTTCGATTCCCGGGTCGGGCAAACTATTACTGGGTTTTTAAAAAAAATCTCAGTAGTAGCACGGAGTCTGGAATTGTGCCCAGAATTTAGTAATAGGTTCACCCCCTATTACATGGGACTCATAACATAAATAGTGAAAAGTGGGTGTTACATTGTACAGTGGCATAATGTGCACTTCTGCCTTAGAAAGAAAAGATAAGAAAAGAAGAAGTAAATACAGATGCTTATATAAGTACCTACCAAATACAGAACAATTATGAAAACCAAAAAAGGTTGAACAAATCGTTACCATTTTAGAGGTAACGATGTTTTTCAAAGTATATCGTTTGGTGATCAAAGCTTATTTCTCCTCGGATTAAGAATAGGCCTTTGCCCAGACAGAGACCATCACTGTATTTGTCTTTTTTTCTTTACTTGCGTTCCTCCACTCGTTAAGATTGTCTTCTGTGTCGTGGGTGTGTCCTGGTGGACCCTCGACTCTCTTTGGAATTGGTACTATGTAAGTCGTTACTGAAAATTAAATGTCAATATTTTACACGGAGTGACAGTCATCGGCGCAGTAAAAAACACCATTAAAACCTGACAGAGAGTGTAAAAACATGTGGTATCAGCCACATCCTAAGTAAGATTAATTGTCAGCTTTTGAACTTTTTCTGACTAGCCACGATTATCATACATATTCGCACGACCAACATTACATACCATCCCAATTAGCTATCAAGATTTGCGCTACCGAAATTGTTGAAATTCTCGAACATTCTATCCACCAAGTTCCTCCCATTTGGAAACTACGTAACATTTAAGTATGTCGTTACCTGTATCCTTGAGAGTGAGAGGTACTTCGAAACGCGGGGGAAATTCACGACCTTTTGGCTTTTATCAATCGAAGTTACCAAGTAATATACTTGACTTATTGACTTCATATGGAGTATCCATGCTTCATGACGACTTCCTTGGTAAATGAAACGGTGTTTTAAGAAATACCTATTATTAAAAACAATGTTAAAAAGTATTTCAGATTTTCACCAAAAAATCAAAATGTTTTGAGTAGGTACTATGTTAAAAAAACGACTAAAGTATCGTCATGGTTGAAAATAAAGTGAATGAAAATGAAAAGAAATGCTAGCCAAATAGAAAAAAGATCACAAAACTAAAAGACTTTGTGTTTAAAATGACATATAATAAACCTTGAATCGTACACAGTGTAACAAATAAATCGATCAGCTAAGCGATATTGCATGTCACATAAAATTGTAACCTAATTACTGTAACATGCGCCATGTTCATTGACAACATACAGGTAGCTACATAATAGTTGCGCAACTGACTGCCGCGCAACGTGTCGGGTTCGATTCCCGCACGGAACAACTCTTTGTGTGATCCACAGATTGTTGTTCCAGCTCTGGGTGTCATGTGTAGAAGAACTTGCATGTTTGTAAACGCACCCACGACACAGGAGAAAATCCTAGGGTGGTGCTAACGTTATTTTTTAAAAATAGCCTTTTTTAATGGGATAAAACCGCCACGACCTCCCAAAACCGCTGCAACTCCTGTCAGCCACGATCTACAGTAGATACAACCATGAACACCTCGGAATACTGCAGTCCGGCGCGTCCTAGGGACATGAATAACTGTCTCGGATCCCGCGACGAAATAAATCTAGAATTAAAATTGAAGAGAACAACAATATGCCTACTTACCATAAGCATGTGGCAACTGGCTATCTGGGTACATGATCATTCCACCACAGCACAACGTTAATAGGTGCCCCCAAAAACCCTCAAAAATATTTTGTGGTTAGTGTTAGACCTACTGAGCGAATTTGGATTGGGGAAGTACCATCCTCTGATAACTATACTTACCACCATGAAGTCATGACATAATGGCTACGTTTAGTCTTCTAAATGAGAGTTCTAGTTGCCTAATCCATTTAATTGCATTCGTCATTCCATAGACGGCCTACACGGCGCAAAAATTAATTGGTATCTATATCTATGGTCAGCACATATTGATGATGCCTCGTGTATTACTGGTGTATTTAGGGTAAAGGCTAGCACTATACTCGGAATTTTAATTCGATTCCAGATTTGACAATTTCAGTGTTGCAACGTTATGACAAGTACTAAATAGTGACGTTGCGAAATTATTCGATATGGAAATGCAATATTTCTGGATCGATTGTTCTCGTTTATAATTTTACTCTCGTAAACTAGGGATATCAGGAAATTAAATATTTCTGACCGATAATTTAGTTTAACGATTACTTAACGATCTGAGACTTTTCTTTTATAATTGTGTGTGAAATAACTAAAAAAATGTAATCATGAAGGAACATGACAAATAAAACAGATAGATGTATTATGGCAACAAGTTATTTTATAAATTGTCGCCGTCATCGCTATCGCTATCCTGTCACTTTTTGTAACATTTATTATAAAACACACACACTGATTGTTTGTCGATTTTTGAGTTCATCACTACACTATTATATGTGATATCATTATTTCACAAAATGACAGTAGCTATTGTCAAATCTGGAATCTAATTAAAATTCTGACTATAAGTCCCTGGCGTAATGCTTTGTGTTACATCTAAATGATGATTAAATTGTTACAGACTAGACAAACAAACAGCAGTGGAGGAGAGCCGGGCCCTCCAGATGAATCCCGCTCCAGCAACAGAGACCCGCCGACACTGGCACTCAGCCCTTCAGACAGGTTAGTTCCAAATATACCTAAATACTAGCTTTCGACTAAAAACCGGGTCACAGCGATGTACAAATAAAAAATTAAAAAAGCATACCTAATATAGTTACACAAATATGTACCTAGAACTAAGTTAAAAAAAAAACAGAAATAGTCAGGACCAGATGCAACGAAAGACAAGTTTGAAAAAATTAGTAATGTACTTATTTTCAAAATTATCTGAGGCCTTAGTACGAGTTTCTTTTACGTTCAAAGTAATCATAACGAGTACGCGTTCGGCGTTGTGATTGGCCGGCTCCAATGAACTAACCAATCAGAGCGCCGGACGCCGTCTCGTTTCGTTTACTTTAAACGATAAACAAATTCGTATTAAGGCCTCTAGTCCTTATACCCGACAGTGGATATTCGACATTAAACACAAAATGATAAAAACAATGAAACAGATACGTAAAAAGAAAAAAAAAATAACAGCACTAAAATCAAAATACGAAAACCTATCCTTTAAATTTAGAACATCCTTTGTCCCGATACAACGTTTTAAAAACATAGATCCTTTTATACGCGTCACGACTCTCTTGCAATTTCTCTTTACTTAGACATTGTTTCCTTTGAAATCCCACTACAAAGAACGTCTGCAACGTCCTGAGATGACGGTAAAGACGTGTTTGGCACAATATGAGACGGTTTCTGTCGCGAAACTAGTGTAATCGGCTTTCTGAAGCTTGTCTAGGGGTGGTACGTTGTGGCTTTAGTTAAAGTTTATTGTTACTTTTATTATGAAGTCGTTTTTAAAATGTTTATGTTGTTTGAAGATGAATTCTTTGTTGTTGTTTGTTGCTAATGGTTTTGTGGTTAAGATTTTAGTTCATTTTCTGCAGCAGCTGATGAGAGCATGTTGAGTTTTTTTAGGAAGAAAAGGATGTATCGTTGTATATGTAGGGAAATATAGTATCTATACAGATACATTAAGGAATAACAGCAACAGGTTCAGTAGGGAAATACAGATACATTGCAGTACCTTAGCAATGGATTGAATCAAGCAATACATTGAAAATAGAAGCCTGTATGGTATTCAATATATCAATAATTTTCAGTCAAATCTCACTTTAGAATAAACGCAACCCTAACTAGTTAGTAAGCTCCGCTCCACCTAATCCGCCATCTTACCCGAATCTAGTCAATGTATATTTCGATCCGGCTTTCACCAATTTTAATAGCAATTTTTTCCATTAGCGCTCAGTAGACGATAAAACGTCTTTTTATTCACACTCCAATGGAAAACCCAGTTAAAGGCAAAACAGTTTTTCATAGCTTTTCAATTTCCGTAAAAAGAAATACTGTAGGTGGGGTAAAGTAAGGTTGTGGGCACAGCGAGAAGCGATTAGCGATACGACGAGCGACGAAAAGGGTCCAATTGGAATTGCTACTTTTGATTTTTTAAATAAATTCACCGAGGGACGTGTAAAGGAAAACCATCGCTTTTTTTCTTCTCCTCTATATTAATATCTTTTGATTTCTTTCGTTGCGGGATCCGAGACAGTTATTCATGTCTGTCAGACGCGCCGGACTTCAGTGTTCCGTTGTTTTCTTGGTTGTATCTACTGTAGTTCCTGGCTTATAGGAGTCGCAGTGGTTTTGGGAGGTTGTGATGGGCTTGTCTTAACAAATATCTTTTTTAAATAATTGTCGGTCAAGTAAAAGCAACTGTCAAGACGTGGTGTGTTGTAAGAATGTACGGGACGCCAAGACTAGATACAAAGTATCTATTTTAAATTCCTAGTTAAAATAGATTATTTGTGATGATCTAACTAAGTTGTTACTTAGTTGGGAATTGATGTTTCCAAGTTTGAAGGATTTCAATGAATATTTGATTTCGTACGTCCACTAAAAAGAAAAAAAATTACAACACCCTGATGTACATCACATCACGCCTTTTATCCCCGAAGGGGTAGGCAGAGGTGCACATTACGGCACTTAATGCATGCTATGAGATATGAGTCCCATATAATAGGGGGTGAGCCTATTGCCATATACCGAGCACATTTCCAGACACCGTGCTAATACTGAGATTTTCACAAACCCAGTAATACTTTGCCCGACCCGGGAATCGAACCCGAGACTCTCGAGACTAGAAATTTTAATTGAATGTCCGTCTTGTACAGTAATTTAAAACTTTAGACACATATTTTTTCTTTTCTCACAAAATTAAATACTTTCGACGATATATTAATTTGAAAATAAAACAATACGTGTCTAATATTTTTTCATTATCTAACTGACGGACTAATTATATTTTAAATTTTGATACCCTGGCAACTACCCTATTGCCATTACAGACTAAGTCCAATGCGAAATTAAAAAAAAAATACATAAATATCTTTTTATAAGTAATAAAAAAAGAAGTATACTAACTACTATATCTTATCTACGTCCTACAAACTATGTAGTACATACGTAACCTTCGTAAACTCAGTCAGCGTACAGGTGAGAATATGTCTATATTATTCGCCACTGTGTTGAGAGTACGACAAGACACAATACCTACATTATATCTCCCGTGGATCCGTGCTTGGACGGACCTGCCACATGACGGGGCACATGCCACATAGTGAAACAAGGCTAAGCAAAGGTATGTCACGTCTGCCAGAAATAAGGTACCTAAAGAGAATAAAGTAACATTACTATTATTAATGATTAAAACAACTTTCAGATAGCGAGCACGCTTCTTTATTCAGCACAGGTCTATGACAAAGAGAAAGATATACACATAGACAATACAGAACTACCATAGAGGGATAGTCATACACTAAAAAGTGGGATTAAATTCTATTACAAAAAACTATTTCGATATATATAAATAACAATTACACAGTGTTGAAAAATTTTTGTAGCTATATACAGAGTCACTTGTAACTCGACGTATTCCTATCGGGATAATACAACTAATTTCCTACAAAATTAGCCCTGAGATCTCTGGTCCGAAAGTGGCTACTTTCTGAGATATTCAACATTTTCGGTTTTGGTGATAGTTTGTACGCTTAGTGTAATATAAATGTTTAAGCTAAAACTACAGTTTTCTATTGACCAAATTAGTGACTCAAAACAAAATTTGATACTAATTTATTTGCTATTCTAAAACGAATGATATTTCTATATTAGTATTAATAAATGTTTATTGGTTTACATAAATCAAACCAGTAGTTTGTTATTTATTGATGTTTTTGTAAATAGATCGGAATTTTTTCACCAAAACCGAAAATGTTGAATATCTCAGATACTAGCCACTTTCGGACCGGGGACCTCAGGGCTATTTTTGTAGGAAATTAGTTGTATTATCAGCTACTCCCCAAAGAAATATATCGAGTTACAAGTCACCCTGTAGGTATAGGTACGTTAAAACAAGTTATACATTTAGAATGCTATTCTTAGGAATATAATGAATTTTTTTCACCGCACTATGACGAAAATGGCGTCGTCGTTCACTATAACCATATCCTTAAATTAACCTAATATCGAAGTGTTGTTAATTTATTTTTTTAATTGATAAAGAAGCGAGCTATAGGAAGCTTGTATTTGACCCGTCGGAATTGTTTCAAACTGCCAAGTTTCAGGACCACCTGTATCCTTACTAAGATCTGTGTAGACGAGATTTTCTATGTAAGTACTTAATACTTGTAATTGTAGTTATTCTTAGTACCTCGTTTATTTGGTACGTCGCGTCAAAATACGTCAATGTCAAAAAAGTTACAGTCAAAATAAGTTATTTCAAAAAATAATTTTGCCGTCACCTCTCGACACTGGCAGTATAGTCGACAACACCATTTTGGAGACTCGGTTGCCAAAGAAGAAAAAAAAACAATTATTTCAATCAGACCAGGAAGGCACTTTTGAACGTCAACAAAAAAGGTGAAGCTATGTGCTCATTCCAAGGTGTAGATTCCTATGGAGAAGAACGAGCTAGAAACTCCACAGGTTACTCTTTTCTAATTACGTTCACAATACATTATACGTTATGCAGGTAATTTTGGAATGATTAGAAGAAGACAAAATTATAGAAGTCTTTATCTAGGAATGCCTACAATAAATATATAAATATTTTTTTATATTTTTTTTTATTTAAAATTTATTAAATACAATAAATATATAAAAATAATGAGCCATGCTTCGGCACGAATGGGCCGGCTCGACCGGAGTGAAATAGAAAACCTACTTACGTTAAACAACGCTTGCGTTGTGTTTCGTGGTGTGAGTGAGGCTACCGGATGCCTAATTACCCCCCACCCATCCGCAGTTCCTGAATCCCAGATCCTTAAATTTCTAATCCCAAAAGGCCCGTAACCCCCCCTTGCAACGCCTCTAGTGCTCCAGGTGTCCATGGGCGACGCCGATTGCTTACCATCAGGTGATCCGTCTGCTCGTTTACCGGCTTATACCATAAAGAAGTGTATGGCACTAAAATCAGACGATATTATAACATAAGAGGAGAAGAAAAAAACAATGCACTTCTCTCGGCAGCCTATATTACTTTTTATTAATAAACAACGCTAAAGTAAGGACAAACCTTTATGGGGGGCACGGGCGACCCCCACAAGGGGGCATAACCCACCCCCGGTTATATGACGTCGAAGTTTAATGTGGCTTTTAACGTTAATCCGTTGTTAAACTACCGTACAGCTGGTCGGATGACAATTAACTTGATGGCGCACTCACAACAGTTCAAAACGGATACCGTTTGATAGGTTTTCTATTCATTTTCGTGTTTTTATGAACATGTGTGTGTTTAGAAGTTAAATAGAATGTTATTGTTCGTTATAATATAAGTTTGAGATCTTAATTTATCCGGCTCGACCGGAGTGATACCACGGCCTCACAGAAAACCAACGTGAAACAACGCTTGCGTTGTGTTTCATTGTTGAGTGAGTTTACCGGAGGTCCAATTACCCTCTCTCCCCAGTCTCCCCAATCCGCGAATCCTCCACAATCCTCCACAATCCTCACATTCCCAATTCCCA